GGTGGTCTGGGTTGGTGTTTGTGGTGGTAACTGTATCAGACTAGTTGGGACCATTTGGTGGTGGTAGTGTGGTGGTCTGGGTTGGTGTTTGTGGTGGTAACTGTATCAGACTAGTTGGAACCATTTGGTGGTGGTAGTGTGGTGGTCTGGGTTGGTGTTTGTGGTATAACTATATCAGACTAGTTGGGAACATTTGGTGGTGGTAGTGTGGTGGTCTGGGTTGGTGTTTGTGGTGGTAACTATATCAGACTAGTTCTAGTGCCTGGGAACTTTGAAGGGGTATGTTATTGAGGGGACATTTTGAGGCCTTTTTTACTTCCGTTTTCACAATGTCATGGCACTGGCACTATTTTCAACACAATAACCCACCAGTGCATACCAGTGACGTTTCAGCAGGATTTTCTGCAGCAAAACAACGTTCAGATTTCGGACAAAATCCAAAGATAAGTACACGGTAATGTATAACCCGATATCACGGATACCAATGCTATCTCTAACGAAATTCTTACGCAGTTTCCTTGGTATGTGGGACCTGAGAACCTGTTGTTCTGCAAAGGAACAATGTAGTCCCCCTAGCTAACTGGATGCCGAAATGCCGAGCCAGAGCCAAAATGGGGAAAAAAATCATTTGCAGTATTACTCTTCATGAGAATAGTTTGTCATGGGTCCTTAAATAACCAGGTTAGCAATGCAAAACTCCTGGGTCTCTTGTTAAATTTATTGGCACAATTTCGAGTTTGAGGGGATGGAATTGCTTTGAGAGCAATCAACAACAGGTTAAAGTCACTGTTTCTTCACGGTACCTTAAACATTAGCTCTGTCACCCAACATCATTAGATGATTTAATTTTGGTTTAAACTTTTCACACTTAATAACTATTATATTTTTCACATGGTTTAACATTCTACTATTTCTAAGATAAAATCAGAGACTCCAGATCAGAGCTCAACAAAACACAGGGTGCACCTGATCCGACATTTGGCGCCTCGGCCGACCAGAAATCTTCATTTGCCTTGTTAGTAGTACAGCTCGACCAGGACTTCAGATACAACATAAAGGAACAAGGGTAAAATATCTATAGAAAATATTAAACTGAGTAGCAGTTACAAAGTGTATTTAAATACGCCTTGTTTAATAATATAAGTTGACTAAGAAGCATGAAGCGTGCATATTTTTTTATATGAGTAGATGCAAAATTCTGTTAAAAGGCTCGGGGAATAAGCTGAGTCATGGGAAAAATGCATCCTGCTTTATCGGGTTTCCAGTCTTTGGAAAGTGGGGATGAAATATTTTACCAACCTTCAGTTCACAATTCTTATCCCTTACAATTTTACAAGATTGTCCAAGAAAAAATGCAAATAACTGAAAATAAAATCAACAAAAAATATATATTTAAATCAAATCTTTAAAATATTTCCCTTGACATCTCAAAAATTAAAGAAAAAACATACAGCTATCAATTTTTCTATTCATTGTTATTGTAGATGAATTGTATTTTTTACTTATTGGGAAAGGGTGGTGTTTTTTTCAATCAAATTCCTGCTAGTAAAAGATAGGATTTTTTCTTTATTTAGCAGAGTAGTTGTTAAAGATATTGGGTAGATATTTCCCCAAACAAAATGTAGTAGGTTATAATGAGTGAACTACACTGTTATAGATATTTAGATTGTAAAACTCGACAACAGTCAATATATATCCAGACATATTGAATTTTGACAAACTAAGATGAGTGTTGTTTCTTTTTCAGTCAAGATGTGTGGTACGAGGACACCTGTGACTTTGTGAAGAAGAGAAAGACAAAGGTCTACTGCTATTACATCAAGAAAGCGTTGGAGCTACTGAGGATTGGTGATGTGAACTCGGCCGGGAAGGTCCTCATCAACTTGGCGAAAAGCACACTTAATGGTTAAGTCACAGCATTGACTTAATCTAAGACACCTGTAATACTGTCATAAATTGGATAAACCGATTCTTAAATGAACCTGTCCATATAGTGCCCTTCATTTCATTTGCCACCTCACATACCGCCAACATCTTTCAAGGTCCCTTTTGCTCCTTTTCTTTAGAGTTCGCTTATAGAACTCTCTCAATTTATTGCCTAACTCCTTTAAAACACCAATGTTTTTTCTGGACAAAAGGTTGGAGTACATGTATAAAAAAGTCTTATTGTATTATAAGTTTACACCGGACGGACGACGCCATACCATGCATAATACTCCCATCAAATTTGACGGGCTTATAATAATATATTTGTTTGTCCGGCAATCTCCTCCTACATTTTTCGACTGATCTCTTTGAAACCTGGTATACATTATAATCATGATATGAAGTTGTGTCTCCCTTAAAAGAAATTTGATTCAACAATTTTTGCAAAAGTTATTGCCCTTTGTTCATTTCAGTATTTGATTTTTTGTCCGGAGATCTCCTCCTACATTTTTTGATGGATTTCTTTGAAACTGAGTAGGCTAAATAATCATGATATGTTGTTGTGTTTCCTTGAAAAGAATTTGGATTCAACATTTTTTGCAAAAGTGATTGCCCTTTGTTTATTTCAGTGTTTGATTTTTGTCCGGCAATCTCCTCCTACATTTTCCAACGGATCTCTTTGAAACTTGGTATAGATTATAATCATAATATTAAGTTGTGTCTCCCTTAAAAGAATTTTGATTTGACGATTTTTGCAAAAGTTATTGCCCTTTGTTCATTTCAGTATTTGATTTTTTGTCCAGAGATTTTCTCCTACATTTTTTATAGCAGGTCAGCTAATTATAACCACTCTTAGAATGATGCAGATCTTATTTCAATGAAATCAAAAGATAACATGAACATATTAAAAGTGTTCTGAATCAGCAACAGTGATGTAATGAAAGAATTCTGATGTCACAATGTAAGATAACTGATAAATCAGTGACAAGGACAAACAAAACAGGATTCAAACTCGTCATGGTGTCACTATAACTAATTGTTAAAGCTACCTGGTAAAAAAATTGATTTACAGTACAGAAAAAAATCACTATTTCCAACTTGATAATATGAACTGCCTTGTTAATGATTATGAATCCCTGTACCACTGCCAGAAACTGTAACAGTATGTGTTGAAATTTTTTTTCCTGGCATTAGTATACCTTTGATAAATCAATCGAGCGAAAAACAAAGAAAACAAATTACCTTGTGAAACTTTTATGAAAGAAACAATATAAAGATGAAACAAACAAAAACTGAATCTACAGTAATGTTCTTCTGAGATTGACAATGTAATGAGGTCAAAACAGGATTCAAACTATGTACCTACGACCAACATGCTGTCACTCTAATCAAGCTAGCCTAAGGTTTAGTCTAAACATATTTTATTGTACAAATATACAAATGGATTGGACAACAAGTGANGGGGGGGGGTAGGGAATGGGGGGTTACCTAGGAAAGAAATTGTGTAAACTGTGAAAAGGATCTGAATTTGAATAAATTATAAATTGTACAAAATTTCATGACATGCAGCCTGATATAGTAATTTTATAATGAACAAGATCAATGTAACAGGGCCCTTTGTCCAGTCACACTACAGTTATATAGCCAAAATGAACTTAAGGGGAGGTAACTGTATGTACGAAAAAACTACTGTGGAACTCTCCAGTGTTTCGCCTGCAGTGGGACAGTGATCCTAGTTACAGAGAAAGTAATTTTATTCCCTTTAAACATCAATGTCTGGCATGCTGATCTTGTTAAATATCTAAAAACATTGTTTTTCATTGTCACAACAACTCCAACATATTCTGTAGAACATGATTAATGTTCTCAATCTTTTTTTTTGTGTTCACAGAAATCATCACTCGACAGAACAATCCTTCAAAGTGTTTGCTTCGGCTGTTTCATGACATAGAGCTACTCTTTACCTGTATCGTGGTCTGTTTCCACGGGCAGATCAGGGAAGATCTTGTCCAAGCTGCCATTTATATCAATGGGTCAGTAAAGCTTATATATTTCTTTTTATAAAATAAAAGCTTTTTTCTACATCTGACATCTGACCATTTTTTCTTTCATGATGAGGGCATCCTCGATACTCCAGGGGTTACCTCACTTTTGCTCTCTGCACCCCTTGAATATGTCATAACAAAATTGAAGGCACGAGGCTAGCTATTTGATTGGTCTCTGGTAGAAAAAAACAACTAATCAAGCGCTAGGCTGATACCTGTCCTTTGAAGATTAGAGAGGAGCAGCGCCCAACTTCAAAGCCAACCCATTTTACCGTTACACGACCGATAGATTCTTTTGATGTATATCAAATAATCAAACTAGTCTTCCTGATCTCATCCACAAGCTGGTGCACACTGAGCCTTCAATTTTGTTTTGACAATATATTCCAGGGGTGCAGAGAGCGAAAGTGAGCGTCACCCCAGGAGTATCGAGGATGTGATAAGGGTGGAGTTTATGATACATGTATTAACAAGCAATGATTTTATTGGCACACATTCTGCTGAAAAGATATTGGACATGGTGTTAAACCTCTGTAACTACTATCTGACTTGTGTAACTATGTAATTGTTGAATGTTTGTCTTGACAAAGGGGTGCCCCAAACATTTGAAATTTGTTTTGTTATTACTTGTGTTGAAATATAGACTAAAATGTGATATCATTGATGCATTTCATAAAAATATACAGGTACTGTAGTACGTTATATTAGATATTTTCTTCTTAGGGCCAAAATTTCGTGGTTTACAGACTAAAACACCATTTGGCGAGTACATGCATTCGAGAATTGTTTTACATCCAACTTGAAATTAATGAAGATTACCCGCAAAATCAACGAAATCAAAAAACCCACAAAAATTAGTGCTTTCACAGTATTTTGTATTATCGAAACACAAGCTTAAAAGTATCGGTATGGAATATAAAAAAAAAAACCCAGATAATACAAGCAACCATGTATTTTATGTGACAGATTACTGAAATAAGTAATGTTTGTTTCAATTACATTTTTGTTATTTAAGCTTTGCCCGAAAAAGAAACACATCTGTGGTGTTTTTAAAGGCTTCTGAGTGGTCAGATTTCGATTCGATGCCACTGGAGAACTATACATCATCTCCCTGCATGAGTCTCGATGACAGCAATTCTGAGGGAGTTCTTGGAGCTTCAAGAAAGGACCCTTTTTACCAAGTGTTGTGTGCTAGCCTGATACCTGATGCTCCGGATTCACTGGGTGATCTGATGCATGGGAAACAGAAACCACTTACCTCGTAAATATATCATACCTGTAATAAGTTACGAATCTCTCCGCCTAAATATCTTCAGATAGTTACAAGGCTTACCCCTTTACTATCTTTTAATTTCCAGCTTGGACATTAGTTCTCCTTTCCTTGCGGTTTTGGAGTAGACAATAGTCTCCTGTTTTGTGATAGGAGATGATGAGAAATGCACCAGACCGGACTTCCAACCCAGGAAAACTCCGAAATCTAGACAGACGCCCTAATTACTTGGTCACCAATGTTGGGTTCAGTCCAGTTCAGCTACATGTTCCTCCTTCCCTTTTTAAATCTTCACCCACGAATACAACACCATTCACAACCCAGGTTCAGTTTTCCCCTTGTCAAGCATTCACTCGGTTAGAAGAGAAATACTTGGCCAAATCAGGATTTGAACCTCGTACCCTACAAACGCTGGACAGACACTTTACCAACTGAGCCACCTGGTCACTGATGATCGACCCAGTCCAGTTCCGCTACAGTTTCCTGCTTGATATGATAGCTATAGCGTAATATCTGTAATACAAGCTATTAGGGGTATAACATTAACCCTAACTTTCTTTATTTCAGGTCTTATGATGAAAAGCTGCCTGTCATGTTAATTTGAAGCATTGTTGCAGATTGAGACAAAGAACCGTGTAAAGAGTCTCTACAATTTAGGGCTGGTCATCTTGAGGAAGCTGTTGAACCTGTCCAGGAAGGTAAGAACTACATGTATAAGTACTGGACATTGTGCAAAATCAGCAGTAAGATCAAGGTGCGAAGATAAATATTGTTGATTTTTCATCAAAATGTGGCTGTGTGAAATGAAGTTTTGTTAGCTGTAAAAGTGGAAAGTTTTTGCGGAGTAGAAATGCACACAAATTTTTTTGTAGTCTAGTAAATATCCCCAAAGATATCTACATGTAAAAATGAATTTGCAGATTATAGATAAACAGGATACATAGATTGTAGAACCAATTCCGATGCAATGAATTTCCACACTGCTAACAGTTTAAATACTCACAACGTGAACATTTCCAAACATGAGAATTTCCACTTTCGCAGTATTTCCCAAACTGCCCTTAAGTCGGGGATAATTCTAATTTGGCAGTATGCAACATGTTAATTAGCCAAATTGAGATGAAATTTACACCATAGCAGATGCATGTGATCCTTGATTGGGTAATTATAATAAGCACAGGACATTATTTCACGCATCATATTTTATATTTTATTTTTGTTTGTTTCAGTACTCGGTCATTGGATGTGACAAGGTCCTAGAGAGTTCCAGTGAAGGTATCTGTTATATCATTCCAGTGGTTATTCTGTTATTGTAACACCCCCAGTGAGGAATTATATAGTACAGTAATCGCTTTGTCAGTGCATTCATCTGTGTGTGTGTGTGTGTGCGTCCGTCCGTCCGTCTGTGAGTCCGTCCATCCCCCCTTAGTTTGAACGCATTTAGTTTGACATATTTACACCATAGGATAGTAATGTCAACTTCTTTACCTTATTAAATATTTGCTGTCATTGGTCAAGGTTAAAGGGTCAAAGGTCACACTTGACCAATTTTGAAGTGAAAAGCTTCAAGATACCTCACAGACCCCTGAACAAATTTATATTTACACCATAGTATGGTATTTAACATACCTATATCTAGATCAATAATAACTATGAAATGTAAAATGAAAAAGTTAGGATTGAACGGCATCGTTCAATGTACATGCCGAAACGAATGCAAATCGGTTACATCCATATTTACAATAAACCCCTAGAGAGCTTCATGGAATATGTATTTATTTAATCAATTTGTGTTCATACTTGCATAAACTCTGAAATAATCAGGATCCACAGAGAAGATTCTAATCAAATAACTGTTCTCTTCCCATCTCGGTGACAATAAACTAGTTAAGGGAGAAATATAAAACAAGAGGCCCATGGGCCTTAATAGCTCACCTGGTATTTTATTTTTCAATTTAAAACCTGCTGAGTACCATACAGGTTTATCAAAGGAGTACAATAAACAAAATTGCAAGAAGAACTACATATAAATCTGTTTCGTTGGGAAAGACACCAAGAAAATGAGTTTCCATGTTATGTCCCAATTTTCCTCTATTTGCCCTATTGGGCCTCACATGCACCTTTTTATACAAATTAAACAAATTGAGTTTTTTGTCTCTAAGCATGCTTCAGACTGCATTTGGTTTATATCCCTTCACTTGTNCCCCTCCTTTGTCTATTGGTTAGAGAAGAAGATTTTTAAAGATTTACCTATTTTACCCCTATTTGGCCCCGCCCTGCTGCCAGGGGGGCCATACCCTCTGAATATATTTGGAACAAAATAAATAGACAAGCCAATACTAAAATGTTTTTAATAAGATCAGACGTATCACCTCTTATTTGATATACCAGGTACATGTACCTGCTTGAAACTCTGTTTTTGTTTTGTTTAGTTTTTTTATCATTATTTTCCATCTTCAGAAAGTGATGAGAATGAGACTGTTTCCAAGGTAACCACAACAAAGCGGAAACGTAAACAGAAAAGTAGACGAAGGAAGAAACTATGCTCTGTACCTTGTCGAGAATCTACTGAGGTTGATATGGAGGGCATGTCAAAGGTCAGTTTCTATGTTTAAATCAAATCATGTCAGGTAATTGTAGAAAATACTGGTTACCCGGAAACGTTCATCCGATTAGATATACCCCTTCACCAGTAAATCCTTAATTGACCAGTATTAGTTAATTGCCCTTCACATGTTATTAAACGTAGCATATTTTGTATACTACACTGTAATATATTGTATTGTACTGGTGAATTCCTCTTATAAGGGAGGACAAAAATGACAACTGCTGACAACTCAGCAAAAAATAGGATTTTGAGAATTGAGAACATCCCGAGAAGTTTCCTGATTCTGTTATATATTTATTAGCTCACCTGGCCCGAAGGGCCAAGTGAGCTTATGCCATGGTGCGGCGTCCGTCGTCTGTCCGTCCGTCCGTCCGTCCGGCATCAATGTTTTACTTTAAACAACCTCTTCTCAATAACCAAAAGGCCTATGATGATAAGGCCTATGATGATGATATTTGGCCAGAAGCAAATTGGGATGAAGGGCTACCAAGTTTGTTAAAATAAATGACCTTCACCTATTTTCAAGATCACAGGGGTCAAATATGTTAAAAACTTTAAACAACTTCTTCTGAATAACCAAAAGTCGCAGGATGATGATATTTGGCCAGTACCATGCTGGGATAAAGGGCTACCAAGTTTGTTCAAATGAATGACCTTCATTTATTTTCAAGGTCACAGGGGTCAATTGTCTTAAAAAATCTTTAAAACACCTTCTTCTCAATAACTAAGAGGCCTAGGATAATGATATTTGGCCAATAACATGCTAGGATAAAGAGCTACCCAGTTTGTTCAAATCAATGACTTTTATATATATTCCAGGTCACAGGGGTCAAATATGTTAAAAACCTATAAACAACTTCTTCTTAATAACTAAGACACCTAGGATGATGCTATTTAGCCAGTAGCATGCTGTGATGAAGGGCTACCAAGTGTGTTCAAATGAATGACCTTGACCAACTTTGAAGGTCACAGGGGTCAAATGTCTTAAAATCTTCAAACAACTTCTTCTCAATAACCAAAAGGCCCAGGGTACTGATATTTGGCCTGTAGCATGCTGTGATGAAGGGCTTCTAAGTTTGTTGAAATGAATGACCTTCATCCATTTTCAAGGTCACAGGGGTCAATTGTCTTAAAAAGTCTTTAAACAACTTCTTCTCAATAGCTAAGAGACCTAGGATAATGATATTTGGCCAGTAACATGCTAGGATGAAGGGCTACCAAGTTTGTTCAAATGAATGACTTTTATATATATTCAAGGTCACAGGGGTCAAATATGTTAAAAACCTTTAAACAACTTCTCAATAACCGAAAACCCTAGGATGATGCTATTTGGCCAGTAGCAAGCTGTGATGAAGGGCTACCAAGTTTGTTCAAATGAATGACCTTGACCAACTTTGAAGGTCACAGGGGTCAAATGTCTTAAAATCTTCAAACCACTTCTTCTTAATAACCAAAAGGCCCATGGTACTGATATTGGGCCTGTAGCATGCTGGGATGAATGACCTTGACCCACTATCAAGGTCACTGGGGTCAGATGTCTCAAAATCTGGGATGAAGGGCTACCAAGTTTGTTTAAATGAATGACCTTGATCCACTTTCAACCTAATGTCCTTGTTTGACATTCAAGGACACAGGCTTCATGTTTAAATCTTTTGATAGGTTCTTGTGAATCAAACACTGATATTCTGCCTGTAGCTGTATTTTAGTCCACTTTTAAGATTACAAGTGTGAGATTATTACCAGGTGAGCGATGCAGGCCCATTGGGCCTCTTGTTCTGATTTGCTGTCACTTTGGATCAGAATTGGTTTGGTGTCCGGACATTTCAAGTAGTTAGCGCTGCTGACAATTTCTATAAATAATTTTCGATTTTGACCTAACATTAATTCGCCATTAATAGTTAAAGGATTATCATCACAGTGGACAGCACCGATTTCCACCAATTTGTTATTTTGTAGGCCCAGATTTCCTATGCCTTACTGCTTGTCTGCTACACACTGTACCAGATGGAAGAGTCTGGGGCTCGAAGGAATTCCGGTCATCATGGATGCTACATTTTATGCCATGGAGCTCGGTAGATTTAGAGCGATTGCCCCGCAGAATGCTATTATATCCAAAGATTACAGTTGGCTTGAATTCTTAGAAGTGAAAATACAGGAGCGCTATTTCCAGCTTGATGACAGCAGCAGTACCATACATCTGTTAAAGGGAAACATCATTCAAAAGTATACTTCAGCACTCCAGGAGCATCAGGCCAGCTTCTATGGTAACCATTATGCTGTTTGTTTGCTCAGTTTCCTTCTGAAAGACTCCCAACTAGGTGGCGAGACTGCTCAGATGTTATCATTAGAGGGTGTCTGTCTCAGTACCTGTCCACTACAGAACCTCACCATACCAGCAGATCAGAGTTATGGTATGTATGAGTAAGTGTGCCCTGGCAAATACATGTCAGCTGTAGACCATACAGATGTATGTACAGGTGTAGAATTCGGGCTCAGAACTTTCCAAAGCCTCAGTTCTGAACCCAATGCTTCACACTTGGACCTATGATAGACTGCATTAGTCTGTGCAGTATTATTTACCAGTCCACTCAAGAGCCTGACAGTACAGTAAAACCCTTTAGTATTTTTAGCTCACCTCTTTGAACGACTTCTTCTTAAGAACTGGAGGAGCCATGATATTTGGCCAGTAGGTACCTGGGACAGAGTGCTATAAAGTTTCCTCCAATAAATGACCTTGACCTACTTTAAAAATCACAAGGCTCAAATGATTTTAAATCATTTAAATGTTTTCTTTTGAATATTCAAGAGGCCAAGAGCAATGATATTTGGCCAGTAGGTACCTAGGACAGAGTGATATAAAGTTTTCCTAAAACAATTACCTTAAACTACTCTCAAGGTCACAGGGGTCAAATATGTAAAAACCTTGAAACAACTACTTCAGAATAACCAGGAGGCCCAGAATAATGATACTTGGCCAGTAGGTACCTTGGACAGAGTGCTATAAAGTTTCCCCAAATAAATTATCTTGACCTACTTTCACGGTCACAGGGGTCAAATATGTAAATATCTTGAAACAATCTCTTCTGCAATACCAGGAGTCCCTGGTTGATGATATTTGACCAGTAGCATGCTGGGATAGAGTAGTATAAAGTGTATGGAATACTCTTAAGCCAAGGAGACTCAATATATGGAAATATTTGCAAAAGTACTTTTATTGAGAATATTTTCCCATGATTGCTCAAATATCCAGGTGAGCGATACAGGCCCTCTAGACCTCTCGTTACCAGTCCACTGAAAAATGGGACCATACTATAAATCCCTTACAGAACCTTTTCTTTTCACTTTTTTTCCCAGGCAATGACAATAATTACATAATGAAGCAAAGATGGAAACTGGTCGTTAAGAGAATCTTCTTCGGCTTTCTTGACAACAAAATTAACAACAACGCTGTCATATCAAAGGTAAGCTCCATTCTAGTTCAAATTAAATTACCAACAACACTGTCATATCAAAGGTGAGCTCCATTCTAGTTCAACATTAACTACCAACAACACTGTCATATCAAAGGTGAGCTCCATTCTAGTTCAACATTAACTACCAACAACGCTGTCATATCAAAGGTAAGCTCCATTCTAGTTCAACATTAACTACCAACAACACTGTCATATCAAAGGTAAGCTCCATTCTAGTTCAACATTAACTACCAACAACGCTGTCATATCAAAGGTAAGCTCCATTCTAGTTCAACATTAACTACCAACAACGCTGTCATATCAAAGGTAAGCTCCATTCTAGTTCAACATTAACTACCAACAACGCTGTCATATCAAAGGTAAGCTCCATTCTAGTTCAACATTAACTACCAACAACGCTGTCATATCAAAGGTAAGCTCCATTCTAGTTCAACATTAACTACCAACAACGCTGTCATATCAAAGGTAAGCTCCATTCTAGTTCAACATTAACTACCAACAACGCTGTCATATCAAAGGTAAGCTCCATTCTAGTTCAACATTAACTACCAACAACGCTGTCATATCAAAGGTAAGCTCCATTCTAGTTCAACATTAACTACCAACAACGCTGTCATATCAAAGGTAAGCTCCATTCTAGTTCAACATTAACTACCAACAACGCTGTCATATCAAAGGTAAGCTCCATTCTAGTTCAACATTAACTACCAACAACGCTGTCATATCAAAGGTAAGCTCCATTCTAGTTCAACATTAACTACCAACAACGCTGTCATATCAAAGGTAAGCTCCATTCTAGTTCAACATTAACTACCAACAACGCTGTCATATCAAAGGTAAGCTCCATTCTAGTTCAACATTAACTACCAACAACGCTGTCATATCAAAGGTAAGCTCCATTCTAGTTCAACATTAACTACCAACAACGCTGTCATATCAAAGGTAAGCTCCATTCTAGTTCAACATTAACTACCAACAACGCTGTCATATCAAAGGTAAGCTCCATTCTAGTTCAACATTAACTACCAACAACGCTGTCATATCAAAGGTAAGCTCCATTCTAGTTCAACATTAACTACCAACAACGCTGTCATATCAAAGGTAAGCTCCATTCTAGTTCAACATTAACTACCAACAACGCTGTCATATCAAAGGTAAGCTCCATTCTAGTTCAACATTAACTACCAACAACGCTGTCATATCAAAGGTAAGCTCCATTCTAGTTCAACATTAACTACCAACAACGCTGTCATATCAAAGGTAAGCTCCATTCTAGTTCAACATTAACTACCAACAACGCTGTCATATCAAAGGTAAGCTCCATTCTAGTTCAACATTAACTACCAACAACGCTGTCATATCAAAGGTAAGCTCCATTCTAGTTCAACATTAACTACCAACAACGCTGTCATATCAAAGGTAAGCTCCATTCTAGTTCAACATTAACTACCAACAACGCTGTCATATCAAAGGTAAGCTCCATTCTAGTTCAACATTAACTACCAACAACGCTGTCATATCAAAGGTAAGCTCCATTCTAGTTCAACATTAACTACCAACAACGCTGTCATATCAAAGGTAAGCTCCATTCTAGTTCAATATTAATTACCAACAATGCTGTCATATCAAAGGTAAGCTCCATTCTAGTTCAACATCAATTATCAACAACGCTGTCATATCAAAGGTGAGCTCCATTCTAGTTCAACATCAATTATCAACAACGCTGTCATATCAAAGGTAAGCTCCATTCTAGTTCAACATTAATTACCAACAACGCTGTCATATCAAAGGTAAGCTCCATTCTAGTTCAATATTAACTACGTTTGGCTCATTTGTAGTTAAAAAGAGCTACTGCACTGTGCACCTGCTGACAACCTATAGGTCCAGAGATAACAAAAACCTTCAAATTGACTTGGTGAATTAACCAATGGCATTCTTCTTGGTATGTCACTATAAACTATATATACATTTCGTAGGTTTAATGGTTGTACTTGATTAATTGACTTCAACACCAGTGATTACTAATGATGTGCACTAGAAATATTTTATGCTTGTCAACAAGTTGTTTTGTTTCAGTTCCTGACCTACACAGAAAGAATTGATGACCCAAAGTTTGCCGATTTAGTCTACAGAGTACTGGAGGACTATAGCTACCTTAAAGAATTTACCTTTCCTGAGCAGAGAATCTCCTGTTTCAAGTTTCTACTCCAAGTGCACAAGCATTCTCAGTATGAGGTTTCACCTTATATGCTTAGTAAATCATTCGTCGATGTAGGACTACAAATTCAGGCAGAGTTTCTTGGCTTCTTTCTGCCGAACTGGCAAGAACTGTGTCCGTTTTTCAGCGGTCAACAGCTCGCAAAGATTGTAAAGGTAAATATGATAAACCAGTTATATATCAATCAAGTTTTTATATCACTCATACAATAGTACACCAAGGACATACATAGAGGATCTTTGTGTTAAGAAGTTCCAGATTTTTATTTTTTAACAATGAACCATTTTTAAATGCAATGAAAATAATAAGGACAAAAGAAACATCTCAAATTCATTTACAATTTCAATAAAAGTATCATGTGGTGTAGTAAATATAAGAAGTTCTTGTAGTGGCGTAGGAATATGTTCCCACAGTTTTGACCAATCGCAGCACCTTAAGGTTTTTTCACACGTGTGTAATACTATATTTATGACATGGCTGTATGACGTGGTAATACGGCTCAGTTATGAGATAAATATCATTATAGTATGATTACATCGAAGACCAGTACTCCAGCTAAGTCATCTGTATGACCCGCTACTGACCTAAAGGGGAGATCGGGGCTAGATCTTCACCCAACTAGTTACATATTCAGTACAGTGTGTATACACTCTCTATCGATAGGCAAAGCATCACGGGTTGAGTGACGTATGGAATATACGATTTCGTCACATTGTAGTACATGTTTACAACAAATATTGCTCACTTAATCATAGCTTGGCAAAGGGACCAGTTGGTTTTGAAACTTTGTGACACATTTGATAGGTAGATTGTTTGTGTAAGACTTTGAGAAATATATTTCTAACAGACTTAAAGCATAATACTGGATTACCAGAAATGTCATTGTCAATTTCATTCTTTTGTTTACAGGTCATCACGGAGGACTATATCAAGAGTGTTGACAATTTGCCAAAGACGACAATTGACATGTTGCTGAGGCACTTTGAGGCTCCCTTCAAACATAGTGAGGAGAGCGTTGAATTCCTTAAATGTTTCCATGCTAAGGTACATAGGCATAAGGCATTGGAAAAGGTCATCTTCAACAACAAGAACTACACACCTCTAGCTCTGTTACTTTTGGCCAAAATGGAACACGAAGAGATGGACTCATCCACCTTACCCTTGGGAGATATATTCACGAAAACTGTATTCAGTCTGATACAAGAGGTTTTTAAAAGGCTCCGAGAGGTAATGGACGACTCTGGCAAAGAGTTTGAGACGCTATTGTCGGATCTACGTCCATGTCTTGTGTGGTTTTTCAAAAAAATTGCAGCTAGTGGCAAAAGCGCTAAACATAGTAAGGACATTAATTGCCACAGGCTCACAATTTTCTGCTTTCATGGATGACATAGAAACCACTACCAAAAATAACTCTGCATTTCTTGTTTCTTTCTTCACAGAAATGAAAAAGTCGAAACCTCTGTTTAACCGTGCCAAACAAGTTTTAGGAGAGCACCTTATTGGTATCTATCAGTGCCAATTCCAGAAACGTATGCAGACTTGTAGTACATCTTCATATAAAAAAAGTGTTGCGGGAAATGAACGAAGCACGGAATAACAGCATACAATATGTTGGCAAAGGAAGTGCTCTGTTCAAAAGCAGTGTGACAGACACTATTAGAAAAATTCATCGTAACAAAAAAAGGCTTTTGCAGATAATGGATGAGGATTTCCCAGAGCTAAGCAAGGATTCCAAATGAGGATGTGTCAGATATCGCCATGACTGTGTTGGGACAGTATACAGAGCCCACTTGTGTAAAACATCTGAAAGTTAAGGAAAAACTCAAGCAATGTATTGTCTATGGGAAATCTTAGACTTGAGGAAATCTCAAGAGTTGAGATGTTTTATACAAGTGGGCCCAGGGCTTCTAGAACTCTATTAAAAGTTTACTGCATGGAATAATACAAGCGAGTACATGCGCAGGTGATCACCGGGCTTAAGTACTGATTTCCTGCTTAGATCTTTTCTCTTATCTGTTGGATTGAGTCATGGAATTATAAACACCTTGTGGTAACTTCAGATCAAAGCTGCATACTACTATGTATGACATTGTTGTTTCAAAGTGACATTGTTGTTTGACCTATTTACTAGCACAGTACTGAATGTGTGACAAGTGTAGGAACCTAATTTGAAACTTGCAAGAAGATCAGTCTTAGTCTTGGGAAATAGTGATGAGGAACTGGACCTGTCGAAATCCAAGATGGCTGCCTGGCAACTACTCTGTTTTTACTGATCAGCTTATACATGAAACATGTATAACATGGAACATAATACAGTAGCTCTAACAAACTTTAACTCCCCAATTCCATATGGCCACATATTGGCCATTTTGGTTTTTAGATCAGTCCTAAAATTAAAATTCAGTATGAATAACTACAGACAGTAGGAAACTTTCATGTGAAGTTTGAGAAAGATCACTCAAGTAATGAGAAAAAGCGCTAATAAACTTAAACTCTCAAAATTCCAGATGACCACCTCTGAGCCATCTTGGTTTTTTGTTTTGTCCCAAAACTAGATATGCACATAACTAACATGACTTAGGACAATGGGGAACTTTAATTTCAAGTGATATTAGAGAAAGATCCCTCAAGGATTTACCGAGAAATATAGCAAGAATTATTGAAGGACAGAAAATGAATCACATATGAAGGGTGATATGAATGTTTTGTGTTATTATAATTGAACAAAAGAACTGCACTAACACAATATATATAAATCAAAAGTACTCTTTACCTCAAGACCATCATTATGTATTTCTATTGCTGTGATATCGCTATGGCGGTTATGGTACGCATATATAGCGGACATTGGTAAAACTATTTCTTTTTATGTATATATATGTTATATAAAATGCATTCCAGTAAATCAACTGAATGCTTTGTAATTTATTTTCATTTTTATAAAAAAAAATCAAAATCGCCCTATTTTTTAGCAGGACTGTGCCATAACGAAATTTCACGTTTTTTAGAAAAAATCATTTCTTGTTTTGGAGGTCCTCAAGCACACAATTTAAGCCAGTCTCTAGGAGGGTTTTTTTTAGAAGAAAAACCTTGAAATATACTTTTTAAATTTGATTTTAAATTTTCAAATTATTTTTCCATTGTAACCTTTTATGCTGCTTAACAGGTTAGCCTTTTTATATATTTATACATACATGTATGTATTTATCAAAATTACTCTTTAATTTATTCTATTTTCATTTTTACAATTTCCAGATAAAAGAAAGCAGATTTAGAATAAGTACTGTTTGACAATGTGGCTGCTGTTGGTCCTAACTGGCATTCTGTACAGTTTTTTGACATTGTTCACTGTTCAAGAGTTTAAAAAAAATGTTATGCAAAAAAAATCCAGCAAAGAGAGCATTTTACTTGTTAATTTGTTTGTGGTTGATATTTTTAGAATATTACATATACATGTATGCAATTCTCACTTGTTTAATTGTGAGCGTATTCATTAAATTGCTGTTAAAACTAAATCTCTAGTATCTTATAGTAAAGATGTTAATTTCTGTGTTATTTATTTATTATTGTTGTGTTTTATATATTAAAACATGTATTGATTTTTTCATGTTTGTAATTTTCTTTTTCTTTTTTTTTGATATTTCACGACATTTGTGATTGAAAATATGTGTACTTATTTTACATGGATTTCATTCTACTAACTTAATTTGTGTGATACCAACTTTCACTTTCAACCACTGAGTAGAAAGTTGAATCCTGTTGTGTTTTCTCTCATAAAATACCTGCAGTCAGAAAATCTTTTTGGTTATGTGTAATTCTGTTCTTTGTCGCATCACAATACATCTGGGACAATACACCAGAGGGTATACAGGTTATTGGAAGAAAAATAGCAAGTAGAAATTTTTATTTTTAACTCACGTGACTTTTAAGGCCTCTGGGCCTCTTTAGTTTTAATGAAAAATCTTAAGAGTAATTTTATACAGTGATTCATTTGAAAGAAGATCTAATCACTTTACAAATAAGTTCAGAGTATAACTGGTGAGGACATCTTAACTTCTATACAAACAGGAAAACTCCCAAAATGTTTAGATAATCTCACAAGGGCAAGGCACGGACTAACACCCGACCCCTATATACTTATATATGCAGTGAAGCGTATAGAGGGTAGGGGTTAGTCTGTTTCTTACCCCTGTGGATAACTTGGTTAACATATCCTTGCATGACACAACCATGTTTGAGCTGTGCTCTCGTTGTTATCGGTCTGCAGACTTATTGGACTACAAAATGCAGTTAATTCACTTTAGCATACCATAAAACCTCCAATTTTTATATGCCCGTCGAAGACGGGGACGTATTATGTTATCACGTGAGCGGGCGGGCGGTCAAACGATGTCCGCTCGATATCTCGAGTAATTATTAACAGATTAACTTCAAACTTCACAACAAGGTTATTAATTCCCATGAAACCTCGGACAAGTTTAATACCCGCCATTATCCGACCATAATTTCTGGAGTTATGCCCTTTACTTGCCGAAACAGTGTCCGCTCGATACCTCGAGTAATTATTAACGGATTAACTTCAAACTTCACAACAAGGTTATTAATTACCATGAAACCTCGGACAAGTTTAATAACCGCCATTATCCGACCATAATTATTGGAGTTATTACCCTTAGTTTCATTAATGCGATGCATGCGTTCCATGATGTTGTATTGCACTCATTGATCTACCAGTTATGTTGAATGATTTCTCTTTTAATATCAATTACTCACAAATACTTCATATATTTCAATCATACAAACAACTGCTCATTCAATGTGTGACGGGCGTATTATATACCGCTCGCGGTAACCTTGTTATGTTTAACTTCCCCTTATTTTCATTTTGGATATACCTCGGAAGTAGCTGTAGCACTTCCTTTGACCCGTCAGCTCTTCCATTACAGTGATAGTCTAGGGTTTGAATCCTGGTCAAGGCCTGCTGTTTTTTTTTACACTATCTGTTGATTATATTAAGTTTATTGCATTTGATTTGTGTGCAGGTTTGTCTTTATGTCTGCGTTTTTCATTTTTCAGAAATTTCTATATTGTTTCAAGTGCATTGTTGAGGCATTTCAGTTTGTCATGATAAAACATTCTGTTTTTATGCTAGATTTTTAATATCACTGTTATTGTTTTTTTATGAATTTTTATATACAGAAATCCACTTTCTCTAGTTCACGAGACCATGAACTCTGCGTCAGCTGCAATGTGGCAGTATACATTGAAGATGTTACTTGTTTTACACATGTACATTAATTGAAATTCATATATGTACCGGTATATATATTTTCTTCGAATATTTATTAGAAATAATCACCATTTTTTGCAACAAAATAAAAAAGAATAGTGATTTATTACATGTATTGTTTTAATTTACGCTACATTTTTTTCTGAAAACCATGAGGCCTTGGGTGATTCATCTTTGCTAGTCGAGGGTTGCGATCAGGTATGATTCGGTCTTCCTATACTCTCCACCTGAAGAGTAGGTAGATGGTACAGGATTGTAACCCTTGGCTAGCCAAGATGAGGGAGATTAGATTTGGCCCGAAACATGCTGGGATAAAATGGCTATCAAGTTTGTTCAAGTAAATGACCTTGAGCCCTTTTCAAGGTCATAGGGGTCAGGTTTGTTCAAACAAATAATGTTTTGACCAAAATTATTAGCCCTTCATCCCAGCTACTTGCCAAATATCATAACCCTAAAACTGTCATTTAGAATAAGTCATCTAAAATGAAAAGTTGACATCGTACGGGAAGGACACCTGATGCAACACCAGGAGTCCGGATTGAACTCACTTGACCATTCAGGCCAGGTAATCTCACATTAACAATAAATCCAAGAAACTCAAACAAAATAGCAGAAACTTTTATTTTGTTCCTTGGTGTTAGATTTTCCATCTTTCACTTAAACCACCCACTTTCATAGGGGGAATAAGTGAATATGTTATATATTACTTAATGAGACTGAATGCATGTTAATGTTTTCCAAGGATGAGATTAAAAACTGGCTTCCTGTAAAACTTCTAACAATTATTGTATACTATGCAGCCACAAACACTTATGGCATTTATAATTGTTAGTTGGCGCAGTACTCCAGAAATGACAACACACATTAGACAATCCCTCATGCATGGTCACGACACATCCTCAATGAGTCTGGTTTGTCTAGATCAACACGTAACTGAGTTACAAGATTCTCAATATCTTATCTCAGTTGTCACTGATATCATCATCTACACATTGAAATTGGCAAGTTTCTGTTATAGGATGAATACACAAGTTGGTCATTATCCTCACTAATGGGCTGAACATCGTCTGGCACTTTCTGCAGTCTGTACACTGCTGGATTGGGCCAGTCAGTCTGTACACAGAGCAGTTTAATAATATGTTGTCCACCGCTAGGTTGAGTCAGTCTGTGCACACACCAACAAGTGTAATATGTTGTCAATTGCTGGCGATGGAGTTTGCTATTCTGATTCTGATTCTGTGTTGTCCACTGCTGTGTTGGTCAAGTCTTTTGTTAATAACACACAGCAGGGCTGGGTCAGTCAGTACACACAGCCTAGTGTAATATACGGTTGTCCATTGCTGGGGTGGACAAGACTCTTCATCAGGATACGAGTGAATCGGCATGTCATGCTCAGCTAGGTTTTGGGAGTCTGTACACCCCTGCAGAATATATAAGTTTTTGTTCCTTAACTTTTCTGTCGAGGAATTCCTTGAGCTCAGGCACACTACATTCCAAGGCAGACGGTCCCTGCATGGCAAACATACGCAGCATGCTGTGTATCCTCTCCAATGGCAAGCTCTCAAGGTTGGTCAGCATGCCCACAATGTAGGACCAGAAAACCTACAAGGGCAAAGAACAATCATATGGAGTTATCATCAACAGAGAAATACACAAATGTAGCTGCTTAATTTCTATCATGTATCAAAATTTTAATAACATTTCAAAAAATGAAAAACTCACTAACGGGCTGAAGTAAACAGAAAAACACCTTACCTGTAGCTCTTCTTCCCTTTGGGCATGGGCAGACGCCATAGCCGACTCTGTCTCGTCATCGTCGGTGATGATGACGTCGTGTGTACGCCCTTTGTGTTCCTCTATGAGGATGAAAGTGTCTGTAGTCTCCTCTTTGAGCAGTCCCTGTGTCTGCCAGTATGCAATCTTCCTCCGTAGTGCTGTGGCAGGCATCTGTAGAACATTACTAAGCTCCTCTATGGTCCACCGTGCTGGAATACGAAAATAGGTTTACTACATCAAGCAAGCAATTGTTTCCAAAATTATGCAAGATTTGTTAACAATTTATGGAAATATAACACAACATCCAATCAGTTTAATAGAGAAAATTATCAATTAAAACAAAATCCCCCCAAAAAAATTCCTATTCTTACATTACCAACGAAGAAGATAAAGGGAGGCAACTGCTTCCATTTTTTTTAAAGTCGTTTTGAATGCTTGTCATTTATGAATAGAAATTTTGAACACTGGAAGAAAAGATTTTTTTAAAATTCAATACATATTTCAAATCCTTGAATCTTTCATGATTATTCACTCCTGATTCACTTCTGACAAATAAACCAATAAAAAAGCAAATCTTGACGTAGCCAGAACAGTGCCTCTCCTACTCCGACTTGAGGTCACAATATATAGACAAGTGTATAGGTTTGCAAGACATGTACAGATAAGTGTTTAAAATAGTCTACTGCATCGCATCAGATAACAGCTGGTTTCTTGTAGGCTCTAGTACCTTGATTTTCAAACTGCATTATGATGGCAGCATGAACAGGTGACACGTTGAAGGTCAAGGTCCGGTCTTTGAGTTCTATGTCCACGTTGACCAAACCTGTTAACAATTCAAGCATGTGAAACAATGCTAACCACACAATAGAGTATGTAATCTGAAGTTACTGACACTTCCTGCCACTAGAATACCATTATTTGATGTTCAATGTCTGATTTTACATATTAATAAATGAAAACCTGAAGTATCAGCAAATAGGAACCAATTGTCATTCCTGCCACATGGTTTACGATTACAACCCTTTCTGTGTGAAATACATGTGTCTGAAATTTGACTGATGTTTTCTGTTGGGCCTTCAACAATGGGTCCATGGTAAGATAAGAAATGCTTTCAATCCTATTTAGACACACTATGTCTACAAAGTAAAGGTGATATGGGTGAGTATACAGGTAAAGGCCAGATTTTGACCTATGACCCATCAACTGTGAACTGTGTAAATTTACCAGACTACATTTTTATATCAAGAAGTTCAGAAAATACATACAGATCAACTGTCAGAAGACTTATAACACAAATTTAAGACCATAATCAGTAATATGTATACCAAGTTATTTCAGCATTGACACATGGTTTGAGAGGTTTGGTTTCTTTTTTTAACTTTTACTTTTCATGCTGCAATATTTTTTTTTAAGTTTCTAAATATATATTTTTTTTATGTACAATCTGTAATTGAAATGCAGATATAACTCTCTATAATTCCTAATAATGTTTGCATTGTGGATTTCCAAGCATTTCCAAACCAAATAAATCAGGATTTATAAGAGACCGGTAAACTATTATATTGCTAAATAACCAGTCTTTCACAACAGATAATGTAATTTGTAACCTGAAGTAACAAATAGAATGCCTTTTTTCAACTTGTGTACCGTAAAAACCCATGTAATTTGCGCACCTGTGTAATTTGCGCAGGTACTTTTTGAGGCTGAAAATCGGGAAAAAAGGTTCTACTCGAATATTTTGCGCACCCAAAAAATCTGGAAAAAAAACGATGTTCATGCTCCGAAAATCGATCACTGAATATATTTTTTAAAATATATTTCTATGAATTTTTTTTCATTGATGTAAAATGATATTTAAAACCAAGAAGAAACTACGTAAAATGTGTATTTTGTTGCTTGTTTTCTTTGAATTATCTGAGCACACATGACACACACGTGTGTGCATATTGGCATACATCAATTCATTTTAGCAATATTTTACATAAAACATTTACTTGCTTACAGAAACATATCAATTAATAAGTAATTCGATGTTTAGTAACCCCTGGTGCATATCTCCTGGTGAAAGACATAATTAGATACCTTGTATTGATCATAATTACGATCAGTGAGAAGGGCTCATCATGGCGGCTTGTGTTACGTCACTTCAAACCAGGTCATGTCACAGTTCAGGTTGGCCACGGAATTAGATTATCTAAGTCCGTGGTTTGGCGATATTTTTTTTACAAATTACAATGCAGTAATGAGCTAACACTATCTCTGTGATTACCCGTTAACAATAGCTCTACTAATTGAAATGATTTGCAGTCGCGATCGACGGACCGTGTTGTTTTTTTCACTCGCCAACATGTGGCGTGAATTACGAAGCCCTACTGCATTGTCATAATTACAGACTGATTTGACTGATAAGGGATTATAAAAATTATGTTTATACTAGAAGCGTGGACAATCAATACAGCCTCTTCAAATCTACTCCAAGGAAAAAAATAGTTAACGCGGACTAATTTTACGATGCTGCATTTAATAAATATTGTAATAATTCACGAGGTTATTATCAATCACGTTTTTACGTAATGTCAGACGCGAGATCAACATGAAAGTGAGCCGGAAAAAAACCATGCTATACGTATACGCATAGGTGATTTGAACAAACTTACAGAACTTACATAGAACGGAGCTTAAATTGATCAACTACATTTTCGTAATAGTATGGGGAAACGCACCGAGATGTCGAAACGTAATGTAGTAAGTTGATCGGCGATTCTCTGGCATAGAAATTTGGCTAAAGTTTTTTTGTTAACGGTTACCTATTTATTAATACTTTTCACATAAACTCACATAACAACACATTATGTATCATTTATTAATGTTTGACATAAATAAATTTGTTGATCGTCATTTGTCTTAGAGTTCCGTGTACCAAGGGACATAATCCAAGATGGCGATCTCTCAGAATCGTCGGTCTTTTCCTGAAAAAAACTTGAATTTTTCTATACCTGTGTATTTTACGCACCCCCCACTTTGGTTATTAAATTTCTGGAAAAAAAGTGCGCAAATTACATGGGTTTTTACGGTATTGTTTTTACTCTCAGGCTGGTTTACAACTTCTCACTAAATACAATCAAACTCATACCTGCTACTTACATTGACAAGATACCTTACACAATAAAATTGATATCTTGAATTGAATTAATAAACATTTAATATGAGAGATGCATATTCTTCAAAATCCTTCCTACCCAATCTTACCAAGATGAGGTTTCCAGTTGAGTGTGCGATTGCCTTTCAGTGTCTCATATACTTTAGTATAACACTCCAGTGAGTTCTGCATTATATCTGGCAGGGCAATTTTCTCCTCCCGGAACGCTGGCCAGAACTGCGCCGACAGGATCATAGCATTCACTTCAATCTCCTGTAAAAGCAATCACTTGTATGTACACACAACTAGAAGTCTCATAAAAGCATGTATAATACCAGTAGCAGAATCACTCCCAAATTGTTATGTAACAACTGGCTATCTTGAATTCCATTTTTCCTGTAGAGGTGTCAATTGTTGTGCTGTATTTTTTTTTCGTAAATTTTGAAATAAATAAACCAGTCCCAAACTGTACAGTGCAAATATAATAGAAGCACAATTCTAATGTGAAAGTTTTTTCAGTGCAAATATTTGGAGAAGTCAAAATGTGGATTTTTTTACACTTGAAATATGTATTAGAATAAGTCAAAATATAGGGATTTCCATAATAAATTCAATGATTACTGGTAAATAATAATTCAGCGCTATCAAATTAGTGTGGAAAGTGCTGAATAATTACCTGTGGTGTGCCCTTTGACCTCTCTTCCACCACTCGAGAATTGAGACGTTTAGAGTTGGCCACGTCCTTCAGCATGACCTCGCAGTAGTGGAGCTGTGCCTCACCAAACCGCAGTTTGAGCAGCTCAAGGTATCGGATCTCCTTCTCAATGTCGTAATTAAACTGGGTGAGGATGCGGTCCGCAAGCAGAGTTCGGTACTCGTTCACGAAAAGTTCCTTGCTGCCATATATATTCACCAGCATACTGATGATGTCAGAGGCTCGCCTGCTCTTAGATGTCGTGGCTGGCAAATATAACAGGCAGACAGTAATAAAACACTCTCGATCCATATCATTATGAGATTCTTTCCTCTATATTCTGTTACTCTATGCAAGTTTAATACAAATTAACTTAACACTGAATTTTCTGTTTATTTCCATTCTGTATACTTTTTTTACTGTCTGTTGAAAATACTGGATGATGTTTATTTAATTGAGTAGTTCGGTAAATAGTATACAGTATTTTATAAATGTTGATTGTATATGTATTATTTAATATCTTAAGTTCTTTTTATTGTTATTTTGTCTAATTTCTTACGACTTTCTGCTAAAATTATCGGATGTTCTGTTTGTTTCCCTTTGTGTAATTGAAACATTTTATTACATGTATCAAGACACATTTGAATATATTATATAAATGTTCAAATGAAAACAAAAAACAATCTTTACACATCCCTTCAAATTGTTTTTAAATGCAAAATTTGGTGATATGAATATATATAAAACAATCAAGAAAGAAAACCACCAGTGTCCTATTTCTGAACTATGCTACACACAAGTAAAAGAGTGCTATTAACTTCGATCAACCACTTTGAAAACGTCTCTTTAAACTTACAAGGGTCAGCATCCACCGGGTCTGGAATCCATTTCTCCCAGTCATCATCCTCGTCATCACTATGACAGCCCTCATCTAGGAGGAGGGGCTGACCCTTAATTAGTTCATCTAATAACTCATTGCTCCCATCATCTGTCAGGTTGGAGACAATACAGCGCACAGTGTCATCTCGGGACCTGGATTCAACAAAATCAATAGGGTGTTATAGAGCTTTAACAAGGGATTATAGAGGTTAATATAATCTTTCCCCACCTTGGGAGTAAGACAAAAGAATTTCAACCCAAGGGGCAAGATTCTTAAATGTCTAGCACGACGCTTTTGTGAGGGCCAGACATTTAAGAATCTTACCCTGAGGGTTGACATTTTTCTGTCTTACTCCTAAAGTTGGAAATAATTATTTTTCATCCACATGATTACAAGAGGTAATTTTGTGAAATGCTGCAAACGTTTATTTTATAATTTCCAGCCGATCAGAGTTATCTTCCTTGATGTGCTACTGTTGACTTGATGTCATTGCATTGTTGACATGACCTCATACAATTGTTATGACAGGGGAATACCCCCGTCTCAACCCTAGGGTTAGACGGAGATATCTTTTCCTGAGCGAATGTGTGGATATCTCTGTTTAATTAGGGAGAATTGAACATCAGTTGATTCTACAAATAGAGCATAACCTTTGCAACAGTACACAACCAAAAGCTAAAAATAGAACCAGTAGATTCAGTAGCAAAGGTGATTAACATATTTGATTACATCAATAGCAAATTACACATCATAATTACAATTCTAACAAAAATACATGTTTCCAAAAATAGCTGTGAGAACAATATACGGTTCAAAGGGAGGCCGATACTTTTATTTTCATATACTTATTACATAATTATATTTAATAACTTTTTTACAAAGCCGATTCCCTTACTTTAATAGTGCTTGTTTTAAATTGGCAAAAAAAACATGCAGGGTAGGTGCTTAGATCTGCTTTACTTAGCAGTAAGCATTATATAGTACAGTCAATCTTCAAGATGCTACCAAATATTAATTATCAACTTTTACATACAAAACTCATATATATGGGTTATACGATTTTTATATTATTGGTGTCATATACCGTACATGTGTTTTCTATTCTATATGATTTGAAAGGAAGTGCAAAAGCTGTAAATGTAAACTCAAGTTCCCAATATCTCACCTTAGATATTTTCTGACAGGATCACAGACGAGTTCTAGAATGACCCCTGCGGGATCGAGCACTCTGAGAGCACGGATAGCAGCTATATATGCAGTAAGAATATCCGAGGTGTTCACACCTGTTGAAAAACAAAATCAGAAAAGCCACATTGTATAAATATATTTAGATGAAACTTGAATGGACGGATCAACTGTCACCAGGTACTTGATCAACCGCTTAGGGTGTCAGTCTAGAGTTTAAAGATAAACTTTATTTATTTTACAACAATTATGAAACAAGTTATTTCAACTTATAGTAATCACTGTTGTTCGCCCAGATTTAGTGGCGGGGGTCTTAATGTTGAAGAAAATGAGAGTTCTCGGAGAAAACCTATGCGGTCAGGCAGACAGGTGACCCCATATACCTTCCCCAATCAAACCAGAAAAATGTGTATGATGACCTGCTCAACAATGTCGGTTTTTTTCAGGTACTCTGGTTTCTTTCCACATCGAGACCACTGAAATTTCACCTCTGAGCCAACAAGAGTGTTTAATATAACTTGTAAAGCAATTGTTGCAAAAACAATGAAGCTTGTATCTTATAAAAGGTTCAATTCTGCTAAGTTTCCGTTGTTTTCCCTATTCCTATTACATGTCAAATATATATAGCTGATGTTAAGTTTTTGAAACTTTAAAAGATTTAACTCTAGGAATAATCTGACCTGAATCTTAATATAAGCTCAATGTTAACCCTTTATTAGTTTAGCCCAATACATGTATTAGCTCTCCAAGTATCTCATATATGGGTGTTGAGCCCAATACTAGCCCCAAGAGGTATCTTTCACCTGGATGCAGGAGTCTTGTCTCTAGGGCTGACTTCAGAGAGGTAACCAGGTGTGGGCGCTGATCTGTCTTCTCTAGACACACTTTCAGATCTAATATAGCAGGTTCTGACTCCGGGTATTCTATGATGATGTTGAAGAGTTGATCTATCTGTGTTTTGGCATATGTCTCAAACAAGAAGTGGAGAAGTCTGCCTTTAAATCCAGAAATACAGTCAGCAGTGGTGTGGCGTCTTTCATCAGAATACACAAGATGTAACCAGCCTAGCACTTTTGTCTCCAACCACTGAAACACAATCGCAGCACTCAACATCAGAAAAAGAAGTAATCTTAATTTTAGAATGAAATATCAAGAATCATCAATCTAAACTTAATGACGTCAGAAGGTATATTTTCATGTATATCACTTACAGGTCAGCCTGGGGTCTTGACAGTACATACTAATTTTATAAGTGTATGTAATATATAAAGGATAGGTAAAATTAATCAAAATGAGCTAGGCCGCCCACATCTTTTTGCATATGCACAGAATCTGTCTATCATCAAACTCTTAGCCTAACTACCCTAACTACATCTTGTAAAATCGTTCAGTTTTAGTCAACACACTCTATTATATTTTTTTAACTGGCACACATGAACATGTTAGATGCATAAGTAAAAACCATTCAGAGGAAGCTACTGCGCATGTCATGGATTGTAGTTTAACCTAAGGTTGCCGCTTAGTAAAAAAATAAATATTTAATCAATATATTAATTTTGATAAAAATTAATCCACAGGTAATTAATCGGGTATTACACTTTGCAGATTATCCAGATAAGATGTTTCAAAGTTTCCTTTACAGGTACTCTCCACGTGCTGTTTGATTCTCTCATGGACAATGGCCGTGACAGCTGACCCCGACACACGCTCCAGTATCCCAACATCATCTCTGTCAAAACATAACATGTTACAGTGACAGGTTCAGTATATATCGCAATGTTTCAAACACAGAAAACAAAATCTTCTCAAATTAAATGCCCAAATTACAAATTACAATGAACTGGAGGGGAACCATTTTCATTTATGCATTTTTCATTGTTAATATATTCTTCTGAGGTGACAAAACAACATATTTCTCACTAAAGAAAGTGCTGGTTTTATAATCCTGTTGGATGCTTGATAGATTTGTTTATAAAATGAAATGAAATATATGTACATGTTTGCATATCACTTTAATGATATAGTTGATTCATAAAATTGAAAACCTTTGACCTTATAATTTACATTAAGGGACTAATTTGTAGTGAATCAGTGTCATGTATATGTTAACATACAATTCTTAAAGGGAAAGTGAGTACAGAAACCGATCACGGAGTACTGCGCGTGCATTGCACTTGAATTTGATAGGGTACATGTAGGCAGCAGCTTATTGATCATGACGCTAGCTAAAAGTACAAGACTATTAACTTACATTATGTATTTGTATAATACATCTACTGAAAAGGGAAAAAAGGATTCTGCTGATGGAAATGACGATAAATAGGATTTTTTTTTTAATGTTTGAATAGTTCACTCACAGCTTGGCATTTAGCTTGTGAAATCTGACCATGATGTCCTGACATCGACATATGTCCATTCCCTGGCCACACCCTTTACAACCTGTCAACTCCTCTTCATCGTCACCTTCTATAAAAGTACAATTATAAGTAGATGCTGTTTTAACACAGGCTTCACAAATTAAAGGAACACTATAGATGCAGTTAATTGTATATTGTAGAGTATATATACTCATGATCATGTACCAGGTACATACAAAAAGGAAAGAATATGTAATATAGAGATGGTTTCTAGATCAATTAACCTACATATATGTATACATTTTATTATTAAAAAATTATAATGTCATATAGTACAGGTATTTTAATTTTCTGCACATTTGAAATATACTGATATATACTGTACTGTACCTTGTTCTTCTTCTGAACTGCTGTGGTGGAAGGCCTTGAATGCCTCGGAGTAGAACGCATCCACTGCGTCCTTGAATGAGCGTGGGATCAGGTTAAACACGACTGCCTTTATCAACAATATGAATGTACTGGACAATGAACCAGCATGCATCAGAAGTGACGGTTTACGGTACTGACTCAGCTGGCTGACAGACTCCAGTTTATTGAAGCACGGGACATAGTCCGACACAACAGTGTGGAGATATTCCACAGCTTGTGATAGTTGTTCTGTACGATCCACAGCGACATATTCATTGCTGGTGGATGGCTCAAAATAGCTCCAAAACTTGGCAGCTACTTGTAGGCGTAGATATTGCTGCAGATTTTCTAAAAACCACTCTTCAATAATATGACCTAAAGTGTTTTGGATTAAAACTTGAACTGCATTTTGGAATTCTACTTCAGTGTTGCTGAGCGATCTTGGTGTCTGAAACAGATAGAACGATCATGTTTTTCATACATATGCAAGTACAAACTAAAATTCCTTCTGATCTGTTATATATATATAATTACGAGCCATCTTTATGTTCACAAGAAAGTAAATACTGTACCCGATTAGTCAATCAATTATTTAAGGAACTTGGTTGTTTTGGCATCAAAATATTTTGGTACCCGTTACCTCCCAAAAGTCATTTAAATATTTTGAAATGATTTTCGGTTCTAGGTTTAGTGACGTTTCAACAGGAACATTAATATTGCTTGTTTTGTGTGTTTTCTGTGTAATTGATTTCAAATTTAAAGATTTCTTCTGCTTTTGTTTTGTCTGGACTGACACGTCCTATTTTAAGGTACCAGAACATTTAGAATTCATTCATATCATACCAATATTAAATTCTAGATGTTCGGTACATAAGAATGATTATGGGATATTTAATTACATTTTTGTTAAGACGAAAAGTGCTGAAGAATATAAAAATGTAAATTCAACAACACATGTACTGTACACTGGACAAAAAAAGGAAAAAAAAGGGAAAAAAAGTACAAAGATGAAAAGGGCCTAAGCCCAAGTGTCAAATGTCTTTAAAAATATCAAACAGACTTTTCGGAAGTAGAATTGAAACGACCAAGTACTGAAACATCTATAGCCTAGGACTTTGAATGGGATATATCTGATATGAATAGAGACTTGGGCTACAGAGATGATTGAGTATTTATTTTTAGGGTTAACGTTTTATTTTATAAAATCAGAACCTCTTGATTATATTTCAAACTAAAAAAAATGCCACCTACATGTTTATAGTCATGTTAATTGTTTCTGTTTCAGCATCATTGACATTTTCACTCAATAATCATTATCAAAAATAAAGTAAATACTGTACAATTCATTTAATATCACATCGCTTAATGTCACTTTTCGGTTATTATCATGTATTCTTGTCGCACCGTTTTACTCACTGAGTGATGTGGATTTATCTTATTATCACTTTATTTTGGCCACTTTCACCAAATCAAAACATAGGTTAATGACGATAAGAATCCACGGTTTATACCCCATGTAATACATAACAAAAATTTGTCGTGCAAAATATAAATGGGACGAAACGTCTGATTTTGTACAGTGTAATTGACTAGTGGTGGGGACGAAGCGTCTTGTTTGTGTCTACTTTATACAGGGCATGGAAAAAATAACGATAACATTAGAATGTATGACGGATGGTAATAATTCTCTGTTAGTGTACTGTACAGTTATTGATATACCTTTCCTGGTGTAAGAGACTCGCATACAACATTCCATGCCCGGTTGACAATTTCAACATTTACCGCCATCTTGGAAAACAAAAGCAAATTTACGGAACAGTAGGAAAATACAAGAAGTTGTAGTTATTATTTTTATATAAAATGAATAAGATAACTCAACCATCTTTTCCTTATATATTAAAATTTGCTTTTAAAATTATTTCGATTTATTATGATCAAATTCTGTAAAACTACGTAATAATATCGTGATTTCGTCCCATATGTATGGACCTATTCCTACATCTAAAGTGATTACTTCCGGGAAATCACATCCGGTATAAACAAACGTGAAAAATACGTTTTACCGGCGAAGAAAGAAACAAAAATGGTACGGTATTTATATAATAATATGATAAAGGTACTTCCTAGTGCCAAACATTTTTCATGATTCAGTTCTTTTGTGTTTAGTTCAAATATAACATCAACCACTAAATCAAGATTATGTACTGCAAAGGAATGGAAGGATACATATTTGGAAACGAAAGTTACTCTTTTAAACGTGGGTTTTTTCGGAGCAGAAACGAGGCCTACAAAATAAAGTATGCTTTTATTATAATCACAGGCACCTGTATCTGGTATGTATTCAATATAGTAGGGAAGGCAGACCATCTTATATTTTAACTAATTTACATACTATGGCCAGATACACAGATACAGGTGCCTGTGATTATAATTAACTTCTTTAGCCCTTTTCACAAACTTGTCCCATATACTGCAATTTAAGTACAGTAAATTCTGTATAGTATGTTATAACATTTATGATGCTTAGTCCATTGACTGGAGCATCATGGTCGTGTTGAGAGTGCCAGTAATCTGTTAAGCTAGACGCTGCCTCGTTCACTTACTTGAAATAACATCTCTGAGAGAAGCTTGTATATATAGCTGTTGAGCTTGAAAAAAGAAACATATTCTCTATTTAGGCAAATTTCTATAGCCTACCTAACTTGAAAATCAACAAAGCTGCAATTTGCAAAAAAAAAAGTGCTTTCAGTTGTATGTTAATTATTTTTATTAATAACTTGATAATGTTGATATTTGAGATTCAGGAAAAAGTAGGGACAAAATATATAATACAGGAGAAAGAGAAATGCATATATGCATGGCCAAAACAGGATTTTAACCCATGCAGGTCTCCACCTTCCAAAATCTAGACGGAAGCTCTACCAATTGAGCTACCCGTTCGCCAATGATCAGCCCAGTCCAGTGCCACTACATTCCTCCCTACTTTTTTATGCCCCAGCCATAAAATGGGGGTGCATATAGTGTTGCCCATGTCCGTCCCATCCCATCCCCTTCCGTCCCGTCCCATCCATGAGCGGGGGCATTTATGTCTTAAAGACATTTTCTAGTTTAGTCTTTAGTTTAGCCCCATAGACAACGATATGTGCAACCAAGGTTTGGGTATCCACTTGACAAGTGTGTAGCGGAACTGGACTAGCTAGGTCAATCAGCAGCGACCAGGTAGCTCAATTGGTAGAGCGTCGGTTTAGAGTTGGTAGCACGTCCGTTTAGAGTTCCAAGGGTCCCGGGTTCGAACCGCAGTGTAGCAGTGCATATTTCCAGTCCTGTTTCAAGTGTACACTCAATACTTTGTACAAGGGATGGTTACATGCATCAATGATTATGGAATAGAATAGTGGAAAATGCACAACCTGACCAGGATTCAGACTGGGGACCTTGTGACCTCTAGATGGGCGCTCTACCAATTGAGCTTCCTGGTCGCAGAACAACCCAGTCCAGTTCTGCTACAGGAATATTTGTGATCTATGAACTCAAGACGAAAAAGACTTAGACATTCACCTCCTCTCCTGATATATATATATATATATCTTTCGCAATGTTGCTCTATAATATAAGCTCAAAACCGGATTTCTTACAAATGCTATACATTCCTGTATGTAGTCTATAATCCCAAAACAAACAACATAATGGCTGACATGTTCTCTGTAATCTGTCTTACTAAACCTCAATTTTCAAAGAGTTTGATTGTCTTGGCTTTTTGGTGGTAATTATTGTTTATGACTTCATATTGACTGACGCTAATAACACACAAAAAATGAAAAATTGAAAAAGAAAATAAACATTCACCAAGACCGTAAGCTTCTGTATTGAAATCAATTTTTGCTATTGGAACTAGTTCTACATCCGGTACATCCAAAATGACAGCCTCCATACAGTGAATTTCTGCATGCATGATTTCCCAAATAACCAAAATTACTTGACGTCCAAGGTGGTAGAGATTTCTTTATAGCTTTTGACTTATATGTGCATGTATGTGTTACCTATGAAGCTCACACAAGAGCATTCACTATTACCTTTAAATTTAATGTAATCTGTGATTTATTGAGTAAAAAATTAACTTACATTCTCACTCAGTGAGACTTGTAAACATTTACGCTTTAAACAGTTTCCAGAGTTTCGGCAGAGCTGTTCAACTTCTAGCTGTTAAGTGTCTCTCTAATGGTACAGTAACTTGTCACGTTGGTCTGGGTTTCAGTTTCAGGATTGCTAGCATTTTTTTCCATGTGCTCAATATAATTAAGGTCTTACAATCTTGGTTTGAATCCTCCAAAGGATCTAGTTCTGACAGATGGTGACCACTTTCAACAGTGTAGTGATTTAATATGCCTAGAATCCCCTCAGGATGCATAAGTGTGAATGAGATGGACTGGGGAGTTGGGGTTGTGGGACCTAATTGGATGGGTGTAAAGATTAAAAGTCTGAAATCAGTGTGACAGAACACACAACACAAAAAGCAAACAAAGTGCCAGGTTGAAATGTTGTCCAAGTACCAATAATCTATATATTTACAGTGTTGAAATGACATTGCATAAGCTGTGATTTTTTTTTATCAGTCTTACAGCCAAATACAGGCTGTTGTCCCCTAGATAAAAAGTGCTTTATTTTCCCAAAATGACCAAAAAATTAGGGACATAATCCCTATTTCAATAAAAACAATGCTATATTTTCCCTAATAATAAAAAAACTGACTGTTGTAAAATTTAGGTAAAATACAATGGTAAGTATTGGGGAGTATCAAATATCTTATAAAAGTAGCTTGGCTTTGGCTTAGTAGCATGGCTTCTTGCATTGGGAAGCCAAATGACCAGTTACCAAAATGTTAATACTCTGAAATTTCCTTTTCAAATATTGATAGAAAGTAAATTAAGGAAATGTTACATCCAAGAGTTGATAACCAGATGGTGAAGTTTGTAAAAACAAGTGATAAATCAAAATAACTTGTTAAATGTATAAGTAACTCCGACAATTACTTTCAAGTATCATAATAATCTAAGCAAAATTATATTTTCATATTGCAGTCTGTAACTCTCCATACCGATGTTGGCGATATAAAGATCGAGGTTTTCTGTGAGCAATGTCCAGCATCCAGTGAGGTAAATATGATATAACATATACATTATCATTGTCAGCGGACAATAATACAGCAAACTACAATGTATTTATGACTAGAATCTGAACAAATAAAATGTTTCTGGTACCAGAAATAAGAAATACCAGTAACAGATTTACCAAACGGTTTATGAATAATGATTGCATATATATACTTTCAGCTGAATTAATTATTATGGGTGTAATTTATTATGGCTCATTTAAAGAAATTACACAATCAATGATTTTTGGGACTTGGACATTTGAGTCCTTAAATCCTGCTTATCCTTGGATTCACTCACTTTTTGAAGTCTTATTTATTAAGGATTCATCAACAAAATTTAAAAAGATGTCCATGCCTGAAAAAATCTACAAAAATCACTGATATTTCACTATTATCCTAATAAATGTACATAATCTTTAGCCCAGCATCATCTGATGGTGGGCTATTCAAATCACCCTTTGTCTGTCGTCCGTCTTTAAATAATTCTTGTTATCACTATTTCTCAGAAAGAACATGAGGGATCTTTTTCAAATTTGATTTGAAGGTACCTTTTGGTCTGTAGTTGTGCATGTTTACTTTTGAGACTGATCATATATACAAAATGGCCGACAGGAGGCCATCTTGAATTTTGACAATAAATGTTTGTTATAGCTAGCTATTTCTCAGAAAGTATAGGAGGGATCTTTTTTCAATTTTGATATGAATTAAGGTTCCCCTTGGTCTGTAGCTGTGCATGTTTACTTTTGAGGCTGATCATATATACAAAATGGCTGACAGGAGGCCATCTTGAATTTTGACAGTGAATGTTTGTTATCACTATTTCTCAGGAAGTTCTGGAGGGTTCTTTTTCACATTTTATATGTAGTTACCCCTTGGTCTGTAGTTGTGTATGTTCACTTTTTGAGATTGATCGGATAAACGAAATGGCCGACAGATGGCCACCTTGGATTTTTAGAGTGAATGTTTGTTATCGCTATTTTTCAGGAAGTTTTGAAGGGATCGTTCTCAAATTTAATATGAAGGTTCACCTTGGTCTGTAGTTGTGCATGTTAACTTTTGAGACTGATCTGATATACAAAATGGCCGGCAGGTGTCCATCTTGGATTTTGACAGTGAATGTTTGTTAATTGCTTTTTTCCAGGAAGTTCTGGAGGGTTCTTTCTCAAATTTGATATGTGTGTTCCCCTTGGTCTGTAGTTGTGCATGTTTACTTTGGAGAGTGATCATAAAAACAAGATGGGCACAGGAAGTACTTATGAGATTTTTCTGATATTGTAATGATTGGATCTATTTCTGTAACATTTCAAGAACTGTACTAGTAAACATGTGAAACAGTGCATTTACTGTGTACATGACTTGATCAAACAGATCAGAGAAAAGAAGAGAAAAGATAAAACTGACATAAACTAATGAAGATGGCACAATGGTGGACGCCAAGATCCCTCTGGTTTTCTTTCCTAGTCCACTTAATTGATATAAAACTTAATTACCTCACTTGTAATAACAAACCGCTTCCTTTCACAAACCCTCATTGTCGCCTTGGAGTGTTTCTCAGTAGTAATTGCAAACGGCATGACCATGTGTATCAAATAATTAAAACAGCTTCTTCTAAAGTCCCTGCATTAAAACAATTGAAATATAAAGTTAATAAGGATACATTAAATACTATATATACATCTTTCATAAGACTTGAACTCTCGAATATGCCTCTTGTGTATGGGATGGTTGTACATGTTCTGTCAAACTGTCAAATGCCTTGAAGAGGGTGCAGTTAGAAGCAGCCAGAGTTGTGTCTGGTCTTTCCTCTGTCGCCTCTTGTGAGGCACTTTTCTTTGAAACTGGATGGGTACCTTTAAAATCTCGGAGAGAAAAAAAACACCTTTCTAATTTTTATAAGATGCATAATAGATTAGTTCCAGATTATCTTCATAATTTGCTTCCTTTCAGAAGAATTGATCTTCATTGTGTTTTTCGTAATCCCGATTACTTTCAAATACCAATCTGTAGATCAGATATTCTTAAAAAGTCATTTATCCCTTCCACGATAAATTTATGGGATGGACTTGATAAATCTGTTTAAAATATCTCATCATCTTCTAAATTCAATATGAAAATATCACCTGTCCTGTACCACGCGTTTTACCGAAATATTTGAATGTCGGTAATCAACACCTCTCGGTTCTGTGAGCACGAACTAGACATAATTAATGTAGTGGTCTTAAAAGTGATTTATTCTGTGTTTGTAAACGTATGTGTGCCTCACCTGCCTTTTATTGCAATGATAGTAATGAAGATGGGTATCATTTATAGGTCACCTGAGCTTTAGCTCAAGTGACCTATTGCTATCCGTTTTCGTCCGTCGTCCGTCGTCCGTTAACATTTTACATTTCAAACTTAAAGTCAAGTTCTGCTGGGCCGATTGAACTGAAAGTTTGTAGGAATGATCAGCTCATGGTCCTGACAAAGTGTTGTTAATTTTCGGGTCGATCAGAAATCCAATATGGCCGCCACGGCCGCCATTTTGAAAACCTATTTCAAACTTAAAGTCAAGTTCTGCTGGGCCGATTGAACTGAAAGTTGGTAGGAATGATCGCCTCATGGTCCTGACAAAGTGTTGTTATTTTTCGGGTCGATCAGAAATCCAATATGGCCGCCACGGCCGCCATTTTGAAAACCTATTTCAAACTTAAAGTCAAGTTCTGCTGGACCGATTGAACTGAAAGTTGGTAGGAATGATCGCCTCATGGTCCTGACAAAGTGTTGTTATTTTTCGGGTCGATCAGAAATCCAATATGGCCGCCACGGCCGCCATTTTGAAAACCTATTTCAAACTTAAAGTCAAGTTCTGCTGGACCGATTGAACTGAAAGTTGGTAGGAATGATCGCCTCATGGTCCTGACAAAGTGTTGTTATTTTTCGGGTCGATCAGAAATCCAATATGGCCGCCACGGCCGCCATTTTGAAAACCTATTTCAAACTTAAAGTCAAGTTCTGCTGGACCGATTGAACTGAAAGTTGGTAGGAATGATCGCCTCATGGTCCTGACAAAGTGTTGTTATTTTTCGGGTCAATCAGAAATACAATTTGGCTGCCATGGCCGCTATTTTGCTACTAAGTTCTAATAGGCCGATCTCACTTAAAATTGGTCTAGGAATGATCAGCTCATGGTCCTGACAAAGTTAAGTTAACATTATACTATTTTTTACTCAAATTGGTACATATTTCAACAACAAAAATAAATACTATAGACTCAGGTGACCGTTTAGGCCCATGGGCCTCTTGTTTTTTTTATCTGTGCACAATTTTCAAATTCTTGAATAGGACTATTTGATGTTCTTTTAAACATTGGTATTTTAACCAGGCCCCCATCTGGATACTCTTATATGGAGAGATTCTGATCTTCCATCCCAAACAAATGTCGACATTATACTTGCTGTACAATCATTCATAAAATCAATGAAGAGGTTTGAAACCAATTAGTGGACAATTATTGCAACCAGAATATTTCCCCTCATATGTCCCTCCTTTCACCTTTTCCTTCACTCCTTTCCTTTCTTCCTGCTGTTTTCATGTCAAATAGTAGAGTGTCTGTAACATATATGCTGAACTTTTTGTCATCACATGTTATGTCTTTAATTGCAGTGTGTTATATTGTTGGGAGAGGGCCTAGTTAGTTGTCAGAACTTGGGCCCAATCCCTTTGTTTTTTCTATCAATAAAATGTGTTTAAATGAGAGAACCTCCATACATGCTGACTATATATATATACAACTAACACACAAGAAACAGGTTAACTTGTTTATTACTCTTGTTAGCAACATATTTACAAGCATCAATACATTTGGCGCATCAAGGGCTATACTCCGTCACTCGAACGATTTTACTACCATATCAGCATTAACCTGCATTTATGATAATATATTGAATAAGCTATACTCCAGGGGTATTGAGAGAAGCAGCTAGACTCTGAAAAATTTAATGTCTTCAGAGAAGCACCTTTACACAGCCCAGAGAAAGTGAGCTGCTAGACTCTGAAAACATCTCCAGAGAAACGATCGCGACTAGCACTAGACTGTTTGTGAACACCCCTGGAGAAGCCATGATGAGAGCAGCTATAGTCTCCTGTAATACAAGAGTTGCTGCATCCCCACACTAATTTAAAACTATGTTGAGGTTGGGGATAAATTCCCCTAGAATTTAAGCAAAAACTGCATTACAGTTGATTGAAAACTTTATGGGAAGCTGCATATACCAACCTATTTGAAGAGAGTAGCCCAAACAACTTAAAGTAGAGCACTGCTACCTGCCACAGGCAAGTATAAATGGTACATGTAATGGCATTTGTACAAAGATACAATCATGAATAAACAAAGAACAGCTGCTAATTACAAGTAAAACAACAAAAGATAATACATTTCATATTGGCAAAGCCTAGATGCATATAAGGACTAGGCATGTAGCTGGGGATGGTGGGTGGGTATACACATAAACCACCGTGGTTCACTGCAGCCTCCCCTGATGATGGGGGCTGCTACCAATTAAGAGACCCATATCGGTGACACTATGCTGCTCTGTGATTGGTCAATTTCACAGCAACTAATTACCATACCTTCATTAAAATACATAACCAAACAGCTCATGACTTATCAAGGGAAACATCATGAGTTGGATATAAACTATATACAAAACAACTTATAATTACAGCTAAAACAGAAAGAGGAGCTGACTGCATTGTTGTATATATAAACTCTAATTAAATATTACATATCAAATTATCATGTGGTGATACCAGTAATAATAGTAGGCTGTATTACAGTTTATATCAAACAATCTTACTTGTCACATTACGTTAGAGAACCTACATACATGGTAGCTAATGGTGATACCAGTATAGTAGTAATAGTAGGCTGTATTACAGTTTATATCAAACAATCTTACTTGTCACATCACGTTAGAGAACCTACATACACGCTAGCTAATGGTGGTACCAGTATAGTAGTAATAGTAGGCTGTATTACAGTTTATATCAAACAATCTTACTTGTCACATCACATTAGAGAACCTACAGACATGCTAGCTAATGGTGATACCAGAATAGTAGTAATAGTAGGCTGTATTACAGAAGGGTAAAATGTGACACTTTACAAGTTTTAAGGTAAAACCTTTCTGTACAACATAAATCATGATTCTCTCAGTTTTGCCTATATCTGCACCATTGAGAAAGATGATTTTTTTCACCTGATTCGATTTTGATCGGCGTTGTCAAGGTCAAAGATCACATTTTTTAAGGAAAAGTTTGAAGATATTTCATGAACCGCTCATTACAGATTTTGTTTATATTAACACCATTAAGTATAGTATCTGAATTATTTCCTGATTGGGGGCTGTGGAGTATATCTGATTTTTTCTCTATCCTCCAACCTTTGTACATTTCTGTAAGTTGAATCAGGTTTGATAGTCATCAAATATCTGTTACCGGATTTATTCATTGAACTATCTGTAACAAGCTTTGTTCAGTATTAAAGTCTAATATTAAAAAAAAAATCAATATCTTGAAGCACTACTAAAAATTTGCTTTGTTCCACGTATATTTTTTTTAGTTACTTAGGAGATTATAGAGTATTTAAGACAGTTCATCAAAATTTTCCATCCAGTTATAATTTTTACAGTTGTCGCACTTAATCCAGTCACCGCTGATCTCGTTGTCCGACTATATCAAGTCACCGCTAACACAGTTGTCCCACTATCATCCACAACTGATGTAGATGTCCAATTTTTTCCAGTCACCAATTATGCAGTTGTCCAACTATATCCAGTCACAAATTATACAGCTGTACAACTTTCCAGTCACCACTTACGACTTATCTAGTTGTCTGACTATATCCAGTCACCACTTATCTAGTTGTCTGACTATCTCCAGTCACCACTTATCTGGTTGTCAGACTATATCCAGTCACCACTTATACAGTTGTTTGACTTTATCCTGTCACCACTTATCTAGTTGTCAGACTATATCCAGCCATCACTTATACAGTTGTCTGACTATATCCAGTCACCACGTTGCACTTATACAGTTGTTTGACTATATCCAGTCACCACTTATCTAGTTGTCTGACTATATTCAGTCACCACTTAAACAGTTGTCGACTATATCCAGTCACCACTTATCTAGTTGTCTGACTATATCCAGTCACCACTTATCTATTTGTCAGACTATATCCAGTCACCACTTATACTGTTGTCTGACTATATCCAGTCATCACTTATCTAGTTGTCTGACTATATCCAGTCACCACTTATACAGTTGTTCCACTATCCGGTCACCACTTATACAGTTGTCTGACTATATCCAGTCACCACTTATACAGTTGTCCCACTAT